ATCATGCGATTCTACAAGCTGCACCTGACTACGTCAGATGAGCTAAAAATTGTGTTTATGTGCTTAAATGTGCATTTTTCTGGGGAGGGGTCCGTAGCTTTCACCAGATTCTCAAAGAGGTCCATGGCTCAAAAAAGGTTAAGAACCACTGCACTAGAGTAACAGCCTGTTATGAACAATGAGTTTAACAACGTATCTTTTATGCTACACACCAACATTCACGATTCAATAGTTATGTAAAATGATTAAAATATGTGTAAAGGAGCAGTGTAAAGCAGGTATAAAAGGTCTCAGTTAGCTATGCAGGGGGCCTACATACAATAGTACAACGCATCATGTTTTATAATGTGTATACAGGGTTAGAAATTACCTTTATAGCCAGGTAGCAAGCACTTGCTATCAGAGAAAATGGCCAGGCAGCAAATTAACTCACACAGGCAGAAACTTTAGTGCTTTTACTATGGTTTATTAGGAATTTCTTAGCAGCAAGTATTTGCTGGTGACATTAATTAAGAGCAGGCAGGAAACTGGCCCACCTGTGGGCAGCAAAACTGGTGCTTGCTGCCCTTCATTTCAAACCCTGTGTAAATATAGTTCAGGCTATTGCACGCTCCTTCTGACAGCAATGACAAATTAAATATCACTATATTTATCTTGCTTTCTTTACCATTGGTAGAGTGGAGAATAAGAGCAGGGGCTCCGTTACTAGATTCCCAGGTGGAAATACTCTATTCCCAGTTCCCGGCTAATTAAAATTACAATTTTTGCTTTCCCACGTCCTGGTTGACGTCTATTCCTGAATCACGCAAACTTTATATATATGGTATTTTCCAGTTCCCGGATAATTAAAAAGTCCCAATCCCCAAGTTGTTTTTATTTACACCTGATAATATATAAATTATTTATCAGATACAAATAATTCTAGCTTCCACTATTATTTTTCTGTAATTATTCTTTATTTATGGATGATCCTATCCACATTCTAGAATTTTTACATAAATATTATTATATGAGGTATGCATTTATAGCTTATAGTACTGCTATAACACTGAATGTACTATGCTTGTAATCCCCAAAACAGAGTGACAGTAGCTAACACTCTGCTTTTAATTATTTATTTTGTATAAAAAAGACCAATTCTAAATGCAGCAAAAATTAATGTGTGAAAATTTAAATTGTGAATTAAAGTTGGAATACTTCGATACTATGATTACACCAGAATATGATTCCAATAAAAAGATACAGAAAATTACTTATAAATACTTATAATGACATGTATCCAATGTTTAATTAGATTTTGACATTACTATACTGTATACATACAACTGCAACACTATAGTGTAGTGGAAATGCTATCTCCCACTTGACTATATTTTTTAGTAAGTAAAGTATATGTCACTATGATAGTATTGAAGCAAATTCTCCCAGAGTCATCACTATAGCATATTTCCATTGAGGTCTCTAATATACCACCTGCTCAATATCAGATTCCCAATTCTTCTTCTTGTTTTCTATGGCTATGCTATTTTTGTATGCCATTCCCACCATTACCACTGATGTCCATTGCATGATTGTTTTTCAACAATAAAATAGGAAATAAACTTGTTTGCATCAAACTTTTGAGAATAAATGATATATAATGATAACATTTTCTTGGTCAAATTACTGGGGATAATTGCATGAACTTAAAAGTTTAACATTTACTACACGTGGTGAATAGGGGATCTGCTTGTGACGAAGCTAAAATCAGTCATAACAACACTGACAAACCCTTCTTAAATAAACCGAAAGGAAAATATATCATCACGAGAAAAAGATACCAGTACTGTTGCACGCCTCATGGGGTCTCAACACAATATTACAAAACTCGAACTGAACCCGACTTTAGATTTTTCCTGCTGAATTCCTTTGCCGCATATCCAGTCTTCCACCGCCCCGCAGACTTTCATGCCGATGACGTCCATGTAGGCCTAGTTTCCCGGTTGTGACGTGTTATGTTTAAAGCTTAAATTTTGATGGCAATTGTAAGCGATATAATGGAAAAAATGTCCAACGAATTCAGGGACAACTCATGAAATAGCTATAAAAAAGAAATACTTACCAAAGTCGATTTTTCATCCATATCTTTGAGAACTAAAACTCCTCAAAAATTAGTACAAAATTCCAAAATGGCAGGTGTTCTCGCTCACGCATGCGCACTTCATAAAAATGCACGGAGAACTTTTATAATGTACCGTAAATTTAGCAAAAAGGCGGGCGTATGGTTCATAGATATATAATCAGGCTGATCTCGAGTATGATATTTTATTATAAACTGTAAAACATAAAGAAAAGTTAATTAATCAATAATTAAGACCAGTTGTGAGTTGAGTTTGAGGTGTCACCGGGTATCAGTTGTGAAGTGACATAACGATAATCTTTCGCTATGCCTATGGCCCACGCCTCTTTATCGGTTATCCGTCGCAAAGTGAGCGTGTCATTTTTAATATGTTAGAGGAAAATGTATAATGAAATGTTCCAGTAATTACATTAAGTAGACGAGACGTGTGAATATGATGGATGGGGGCATAAATCTTAGCATTGCTGAATGCGATAGACATAAATCTTGAAAGAATAAACCAATAATGTTTTTATAGACGGCGCTGTTGTAGACTAGCGGAGCGTTTCTTTTCATGGATGTGATTTCATTCTAAGCTTTCCAATGAGGCCAGCGAGAAAAGTATTTAAATAGTTTAATAATTATTAGCACAAGTTTGTAAGTATGACATCAGCATTGAATTAACAAACTAAATGACGACCTCACTTTGAACTAGGATTAGAAAGAGTTGATTGGTAAGTCACATTGATGATTGTCATGACGCTCATGAGTCATACTCATAGTCTGTAAGTCATAATGATACCGTACTCGTACTCATACTCATACTCATAGTGGTGCAAATCCACTTTAGGCACCTTAGGTATCACGAAGTAGAAGTAGAAGTAGAAGTGATGCACAGATTTCTGTGCATCATCAACTGATGCACAGACTTTCCGTATATCAAGGAATGATGCAAAAACCCTAACCTTAACCCTAACCCTAATAGTAACACAGTTCGTGATACATAAGCCTAAGGTTATACTTTAGGCCGTGGCTACGCGACCGGTTCCGGACGAGGAGCCGCTAGGCTACGCATCCGGACATCCATCTCTCACAGTGATCTTGCGACACGTACACGCATGATTGCGCAATGGGACGCTCTGCTGATTGCCGTGTGTGTGTGTGTGTGTGTGAGAGAGAGAGAGAGAGAAAGAGAGAGAAAGGGAATGTGTATATGTGTGTGTATGCGTGAAATGAGTAGAGAGAGAGAAGAGAGAGAGAGAGAGAAGAAGAGAGAGAGAGAGAGAGAGGGCGCGGCTGCAGAGAGAGAGAGCTGTGCGTGTGTGAGAGAGAGAGAGAGAGAGAGAGACGAGAGAGAGAGGAGAGAGAGAGGCGAGAAGGAGCGGATGAAAAGATAGATGGCATAAGCAGTGCGAGTATATTGTATATTTTCGGCACAGCAAGAGCGTGCCCGTTGCGCAATCAATATGAAGGCGTCAATTACCGCGCCAAGAACCTAGCCTATTTTAAATCGCGGCTTAAAAGTCGCGCGATCAAACATGTTGCAGTGGATCGTCGGATGCGTAGGGCCTGGACGCTAGGTGACCGGTTCCGCGGATGCGTAGCCTGGAGGCTAGCGACGGTTCCGGACACGCGTAGCCACTGGCGTATACTTTTATGAGCTTAGGGTTAGGGTTAGGATTTTGCATCATTCCTTGATATAGCGGAGTCTGTGCATCAGTTGAATGATACAGCAGAAAATCTGTGCATCACTTCGTTTGATACGCTAAGGTGCCTAAAGTGGATTTGCGCGCCTCATGGTCATAAGTCTAATTACTATCTAGGGTCTATGCCCCGGGACTGCCGGAACGTACCGCTGGCGTACGGTCCGGTATACGGAAGCGTAACCCTGGTAACTATCTAGCTTATATGGTTTAGGGTTAGGGTTAGAGTTCAGGAGTTACGGGAGTAGGCGTAGGCGACTCCCTAGTACTCGTTAGTGGATTAGGCGAGGTACCGGTCCGCATATTAGATATGTCAGTAATTTAGACCAGGGTAACGTTCGCGGTATAACCGGAACCGTAGCCAAGTGATATGTTCTGGCAGTAACCTCTGGGGAGGACATTAGACCGGCTATCAGCGGTCAGCTGACAAATGTGATATGTCAATGTCAGTTGCATCCGTGAGCGCAGCATCGACTGTGTATGACAACTCATCGCAGATTCATAGAACTCAGATTTAGTGTTTCTTATGCCGGTTACTTATGCCGAGCTGTTAGCTTATGTCATTAGGTTAGTGTGTTTACTGTTACACCATGCACACAACATACCTAAATAAACCGTGCCCACATGATTGATGTGGGTGCACCGCTAGAGCCTTTGGGCTTCTAAAGCGCTATTCCTCCCAAACTACACCAGGAGTACAACCAAGATTGATTAGTATTTAGTCGCTGTTGGGGGTTTGCAGCCATCGACATGCTGCCCATAAGCATAGCACACGAACAGCACAGCAGGGAACTAACTTTCCGTATCCGCTCGCATCGCAATTCGCTGATGTCATTTTCAGCCATTTGCTACGCATATTTTTTTAATGAATCGCAGTTGTGGCGATGCCAGGCCCATGGCGAGATTGTAAACGAAACATACATGTTTACAATTTACCTTTTATTCTCAGGGCATAGCTTTGGCGCCGCGTCAATGATAATGCCACGTTACGGCCGATTTTATTGAACTTGTTAACAACCAAGGCCAACGTGACTTTTAAACAATGCCTGCACTCCCCCCCCGCTCTCCCCGTAACATCAATCAATATGGCCGGGCCCGCAGGCCCGTATACACAGACAGCTGTGCTGGTCGCTGCATGCTCTCACATGCTGCTTTCTTCGGGGACCGTTTGAAATAATATAAAAGTGGAGGATGTCGTGGTCGAGGAGTCGGATAGCTTGCCCTTCACAAATCGGCTAGAGACTGGTAGTTTCATCAATGTTTGGAATTATATAACGTAAGGAACCAACATTTGATTAAAGTTTTAGACAATTATTTTTACCTCGGCCAACATGGGCGACCACCGTTCCAAGCTTTAGCTTTCACTGTCGCCCGGCCCGATATTAATTTTTCACTCGACATTGGCAAGATCGCAACAGCTGTTTAAAACGCTGCGGGGCAAGCGTACAGAATCGCTAGTGTGTGGCCTAGGCTTAAGCTACTAGCTAGGCTAGCTAGTCCACCGATAACTACGGCCAAGCATGCACTGCGGTGTAAATTTGCACTGCTGATTGCGTCTGAAAAAAAATGTATACCACATTTTATGCCAATTGATATGGGCAAAAGTTTATTTTGTATAGCACATTTGCTAGAATGGCAATTTCTTTGCGTCGGAATTGTTCCTGCACAGCCTGAAGCATAAATAGCGCGTACCATAGCATTGATTTGCTTAGATGGGGCTTGTGCTCCCCGATGGCTATGATCACTAGCTGACTATCACATGTTGCACATTCTCGATGTCATGCAGCGGTGACACACCTGGCACGCAGCACGCAGCAGACATTATCCCCCGGCCCCGACCGGATGACCAGCACCATGTAGCATGGCTATAGAACTACAGGCACTTACTCTAAATTAGTGCGGATCTATGAGATGCTGTAGACTGTGTAGTTGCTAGAGGAATACTACAATGTACACATGTATCGCACGTGCACGCACACGTCACAGCTGCGCAGAGCAGGCACATGTGTTATTGTCGATTATCTTCTGTAAATGTGTTTGGATATATATTTAAAATGGCAAGTATAGTCATCAGCCTACGTTTTGAAAGCTATGTAAGGTTAGACATATATTGTCAAAGTGGATAGTGTTTATTAGTGAAAAAGCCATACGACCCCTTACACCACAGGTCATCTTCGAAATAAGGCATCCTGGACGCATGTGATTCGCTGTCAGATCAAGATTAACTCCCAGACGCACCCATAATGCATAAAACCTACCATAAGTCTAGCTCGTAACACTGGTGGGAGAAATAGGTTACCAAATTCTTGGAAAGCATATATTAGTAATGTGTGTCATAGTCACTTCCTTAATTTACGATGCGATTGCATGGCGTTTCTGTCTTAACTGTGATTGAGATGCAATCAAAGCGGCGTCGGCGCTAATCATCTGTATCATCTCGCTCGAGACAAATGGCCTTTTAATTCCTCCGCGCAACGGAAGGTCATGTAATCGGCTCCCGTGGTGTGTGTCGTTGGTGTGTTGTGCATGAGGCGTTGGGCGCGATCGATTTCAGCAGCAGCTCGCCTTAGGGCGTCCAGTGCAGGGCAGCAGCCAGGCAAGCCCGAGCGCAGCTGGTTATATCACATACATTGTTACAGCGCTCTGTGGGAGGTATGCACTCTCCGTGAGTGGCCCTGCTGTCTAACGTGTTTACGTACTGTTACTGCTGCTAGCTGCATGGCCTGTTGCGTGCTGCTGGCTGCTACTGCATCGCTTTTGCTGCTGACTGTAACTGCTACTCAGCTGTTATGCTGTTAGGCTGCTCTGGCTGCAGCTGCTGCAGCTTGCCCCTGCTGCTGATGTAAACGCCTGCTAGACTGGTACTCGGCTGCTTTTTATTGCTGCTGCGCGTGTTGGGCCGTTCGTTGCTGGCTGCTATTGCTGCGTACAGTGTTTGCTATACTGACTGCTGCTGCTGCCTGTTTGGCTGCTACTACTACTGCTGCTGGTGTTGCTGTTGTTGCTGCTGGCTGTTTTGCTATTGGCTGTTTGCTATAGCTGCTGATTAGCTACTGCTGCTGCTGCTGCTAGTACTATAATACTACAGTGGCTGCTGCTCGCTAGCTACTACTGCTGCTGTTGCTGTTGATTGGCTTGCTGCTGTTGCTATAGCTGACTAATACTACTGGGCTGCTACTGCTACTACTAGTGCTATTTCTTTGCTACTTTGTCATTCTAACACCTGCTTCACTATGCATTTGTCAGATCGCATTTTAATGGATGGCGCGGTCGTAGCGGAGGTTTCTACGCTGGTGTCGGCGCCGGGCGTCGATCCAGGTCTTCACTGCTCCCACGGCTCGCTCACGAACAAGTGGGGCTGGTTTCGTGCAGGGTCTGCTGGCACTAGTCTCATTCTCAGCGCTAATATGTGAGTGGTTCCGTGAGTCTTTCGTCCGTGATAGTAGGTCTCCGTGAGGTCGTTCAGTGACGTGGATTCGCATGAGTGGTTGCAGTGAGTGGGTTCTGTGAGTGGTTTTCATGAGTGGGTTCTGTGACTGTGAGTCGTTCCGTGAGTCGTTCCGTGAGTCGTTCAGTGAGTCGTTCCATGAGTGGTTCAGTGAGTGGTTCCGTGAGTGGTTCAGTGAGTGGTTCCGTGAGTGGTTCCATGAGTGGTTCTGTAAGTGGTTCTGTGACTGTGAGTCGTTCCGTGAGTCGTTCCGTGAGTCGTTCAGTGAGTCGTGTCAGTGCTAGCTGGTTCCATGAGTGGGTCCGTTCAAGTGAGTGGTTCTGTGAGTGGTTCCATGAGTGGTTCTGTGAGTGGTTCTATGAGTGGTTCTGTGAGTTGTTCTGAAGCCATATGTTTTTATTGACCGTAGACTGACTTTTTTAGCTTCTATTACATCTATTCCATCAACCATGTTTAGCTTTAAGTCTTGTGCAGTAATATCTGTATAGTTGTGTATCTCTACAACAACCAACAAATAACAAACAACAACACGCAAGGCAAAGTAGTTCTAAACAAGCAACAAAACAACATAGGGAAACAACAATAATCAACACCAACAAAGAGCAAACAACAACAACAAGCATCAACAACAAACAAACAAACAAAAACAATCTACAATCAACCTGCGAGGATCCAGATGCACCCTATCTCACAATAAGGTGTTAATTATCAGGTTCTCCCCTAGGACTTTAAAAGGGATGTTCGTTTATGGGCATATGGGGGAGGGCCCGCCCCGCCGCGCCACCGCACGGGAAAAAAAAAAAAAAGGGGGTTGTACTAATTAAAGATGTGACTCATAAGTGATCCCAATATACAGGTGAACTCGATCAGTATGAAGATGTGTGCGTCAAGCTGGAAAAACACAGCATGGCTGTGTTGGGGTTGCCAAAAGTAAACACAGAGCTCTGGAGATTAGGGCATGTCGATCAATGCGCCAAATAAGGCGCGTCGATACGCCAAATAAGGCACATCGATACGCCAAATAAGGCACGTCGATACGCCAAATAAGGCACGTCCGATACGCCAAATAAGGCACGTCGATAGGCCAAATAAGGCATGTCGGAAGATTTATGGGATGTTGCAAATTAGTTTCAACTTTGAAGGCACCTTGGACCCGGCATTTGTTAAAGGCCTGCGGAGAACCCTGATATCATATAGCGTGCTGCCTCCCTGAGCCTTACGAAGGAAGATTTATCAATCTATATGACATTCTTATATTTAATCATACATTCTATGAAGTGATACTAAACTTTTTTTTAATGTCAGTGTCAGTAAGTGAATGTTCTTAATTGTATCGTTTCAGTTAAGAGGTTTTGTGAGCCAAAATCAGCGAGAAGACCATGGCTAATATGGTAGTATATCAATATATCACTTATGTTTACATTCATGTCAAGGTTTTATTAATCAGTGTGGTTTTGAAAGCACTAGGCTTAAATAATTTTAAAGATTGTTATCTTATCTTAAACATCCTATTTATCTCTCTCTTCTCTCTCTCTTATATATATATATACTATATATAGATATCATATATATATAATATATTATATATATACTTATAGTTATATATATATATATAATTGTACATGGTGGCGAAATTAACGGGAGTCCGGAGTCCTAAATATCTCGCCTGATGGTTAGCTCGGGTCGGACTCCCGACGTTGATGTTTGTGACGGCATATCGCACCAGGGAGTGGGGCCGTCGGTGAGCTCCGCCGGTGGAAAAGTTGTGCCATACTACCTAGTTTCGGTTGCGCGGAGCACAGCCTCGCGCGCATCGGCGGCAATACCCCGCCGGAGCGGATGGGGGAGGGTATTTTTTTAGCTAATGTCCAAAGAAAATTTGGCAGACTGCATGAATCTTAAAAATAAGCACATGCGTTATTGTTAATATCTTTAATTTTGAACCTCAGACTGCAGACTCCTTCATTTTGCTACGGACTACCTCTTTTTGAGGGCAGGGAGTCCATTGGACTCCCTTGTTCAAAAGTTAATTTCTACCCCTGATTGTATAAGATTCAGGATATATATGATGAGGCCCAAAGAGTGTTAGGTAGCCACTGGCTTATCAGTCTTGCAGCATGGTCGAGTGATAGAGTAAATAGCTTAGAATCCATAGTATGTGGCTGAATTTACCATACAACAAAATTAAATTAAATTATAGCATTCAATAATTTTCCCATCAAACTATATACCACATCCATATATCGGATTACAGTTGTGTTGCTAGCTAGTGTCTGTAGATTGAATCTCATCGTTGCAGGTTTTACGATACTTCCAAGCAGGGCCTGGGAGCACTGCTCATACATTTTGCCAACGTCCTGCTCTCTGATGCCTTCAAGGGCGACCCCTGTACTTGGTAAGAAGTTGTCACTAATCCCTGAATTCCGTGGGCTACCCTAAAGCTGGGTTTACTACGTACCGACTTTATGTTGGTGAATTGGCGAGTTGGACCAATTTTTCGATTCGGCAACTCGGAGTCAACTGGCGAAAATAGAACATGTTCTAATCTCCCGACTAGTTGCTATCGATCGGTTGGTCGCACAGGCAACCTTTGCGTTTACACTGCCGATTGTCGGTTATATAGTTCAGAATTTGGTCCAATTCGTCAACACAAAGTTGGTAGTGTAAACACAGCGTTACACGATTAGCTTTTAACTCGAGGATCACGGACCGTAACAGGCCCTACAGGCCTCAACGCATATTTTCAGATCTGGTTGTCCTGTCGGGCAACAAGAAGTAATTTTTACTTGTTCGAATTTTGATTTTACTTGTCCAAAACTTACTTGCAATCTATGAACCGTTAAGGTCCATTTCTGGTTCAGTGCATATCGTAATACAGTATACAAATAATACAGTACAGTATAAAATAAAAACGTGTGAATGTTGCGCGATTGTGCCCTGATGATGGCATGATGATGATATTTGGCTCAAAGGATGTTAGGAATATTAAACTAGAAATTTACACTTGACAGTTGTCCGTTCGGGCAACTAGCCAAGAGAATAACTTGTCCGACGTAGACTTTCACTTGTCCCGGGCAATAGAACAACGTTAGTGTCGAGGGCTGCCCTAGTACAGCCGTAACGATGCTAATTTTATCACAAGAAAGCAAAAATCGTGCATCCTGCCATAACGTATTTGTTCTTCGTGCCATATTGCGTGTGCCTACCGCACCACCGCGTGTTTTTGCACGTGCAAGCGACTTGACAAACACCTCGGAATCATTGGCAGAGTGCCAGAAAATCTCGATCCTCCCAACCACCGCGTGCTGTGTGTCACTTCCAGCCACAGCTGCCTACTAACGAGCAATTCTCGCGTCTGTACATTTTTTAATTGATTTTTAAGTCGTTAATTAAAATTATTTTAAGATCTTTCTGTGTTGTTCCGCGACAGGTACATCGTTAGCTTCCTGCTGGACTCCACGCTGGGTCTGGTCATTATCTACCTGGGGCTCAAGGCTTCGCAGTGCGTGTTCGTGCGGATGCTGGGATGGATGAAGTTTCAGCTAGGCGTTTCCCGTTGCGCAATCATATGGAAGGCCATTACCGCCAAAACCTACCTATTTTAATCGCGCTTAAGAGTCGCGCGATCACTGTTTGAGTGGATGTCCGGATGCGTAGCCTGGAGGCTAGGTGACCGGTTCCGGATGCGTAGCCTGGAGGCTAGGCGACCGGTTCCGGACGCGTAGCCTGGAGGCTAGGCGACCGGTTCCGGGTGCGTAGCCTGGAGGCTAGGCGACCGGTTCCGGACGCGTAGCCACTGCGTATACTTTATGACTTAGGGTTAGGGTTAGGGATTTTGCATCATTCCTTGATATACGGAGTCTGTGCATCAGTTGATGATACACAGAAATCTGTGCATCACTTCGTGATACCTAAGGTGCCTAAAGTGGATTTGCGCCCTCATAGTCATACTAATTACTATATAGGGTCTATGTCCCCAGGGTACTGCCGGAACGTACCCTGGGTACGGTCCGGTATACCGGAACGTACCCTGGTAACTATCTAGCTTATATGGTTAGGGTTAGGGTTAGAGTTAGGGTTAGGGAGTAGGCGTAGGCGACTCCCTAGACTCGTTAGTGGATTAGGCGAGGTACGGTCCGGCATATTAGATAGTAGTATTTAGTACCAGGGTACGTTCCGGTATACCGGACCGTACCAAGGATATGTTCTGGCAGTACCCTGGGGGACATAGACCCTATCAGCGTCACTGACAATGTGAATGTCAATGTCAGTTGCATCCGTGAGCCACATCACTGTGTATGACACTCATCCAGTCATAAATCAGATTTAGTGTTTCTTATGCCGGTTACTTATGCCGAGTGTTACTTATGTCATTAGGTTGTGTGTTACTGTTACACCATGCACACAACATACCTAATAAACCGTGCCACATGATTGATGTGGGTGCAGCTAGAGCTTGGGCTTCTAAAGCCTATTATCCCAAACTACACAGGAGTACAACCAACGATTGATAGTGTTATCGGCTGTGGGGGTTGCACATCGACATGCTGCCATAGCATAGCACAGAACAGCACAGCATAGAATAGCGTACCATAGCATTATTTGCTTAGATGGGGTTGTGTCCCCGATGGCTATGATACACTAGCTGACTATCATGTTGCACATTCTGATGTATGCACGGTGACACTGGCACGCATGCACGCACAGACACGCATGCACCCATGTACATGGCTATAGAACTACAGGCACTTACTCTAAATTAGTGCGGATCTATTGAGAGTGTAGACTGTGTAGTTCTAGAGGAATACCTACATGTACACATGTATGCACGTGCACGCACACGTACACGCGCGCACGCACACGTGTTGTCATTATCTTCTGTAATGTGTTTGATATATATTTAAATGCAAGTAATAGTATCAGCCTACGTTATGAAACAATGTATATGATATTGTAAAGTGTAGTGTGTATTAGTAAAAAGCATAGCACCTTAAAAGGTCATCGTTCTGAAATAAAATATGAGCATGATATTGCTTCAGATAAGATTACTCACACCATATTGCATAAAACCTATGATAGTCTAGCTGTAACACTGCAGGGTTCTCCAAGCTTTTTCATTATAGCATGGCGGGTGCTGCCTTTACGGTCCTAGTTGCAAATCGCCGAAGGCGGTTTGCGTGCTAGGGGGGTCTGGGGGCTATAATATTTAGCATGGCGGCTATGATATTTAGAGTGGCGGGTGCATTTTAGGATGGCGGGGCTCGACGATAGCCTGGCGGGCCGCCAGGCTATAAGTGCTGTTGGAGAACCCTGCACTGGTGGAGAAATAGGTTACCAAATTCTTGGAAAGCATTTAGTATGTGTGTCATAGTCGCTTCCTTATTTAACGCGATTTGCATGCTGTTTCTGTCTTAACTGGATTGAGATGCAATCGAGGCGCCGGAGCTATCGCCTGTATCATCTCTCGAGACAAATGCCTTTTAATTTTACTACTGTTACTGCTGCTGCTGCTGCTGTTGCTGCTGCTGCTGCTGCTGCTGCTGCTGCTGCTGCTGCTGCTGCTGATGTACTGCTGTCGTACTGGTACTG